AATGTGGAAAAAGTCAAGGGGTCTGAATACTTTCCGAATGCGCTGTACGTCGTACAACGAAATGCTTACTTGCATACCACTAATCAGCTAGACGTTTTTATAGTAGACCTTAAAAAGGTAGACTCAGCAATATGACATAGATGCAGAAAGTAAACAGCAATAGTGGGTCAATTTCCACAACAACTAAAGAGTGTTGAAGCGTTTTGGTCCCCTGGCTTGCATCTCATCTCAACATCTGCTGCTTGTCCTTTAGTTGAGTCTACCTTTAAACCTTCTCCTATTCCCACTGGGCACAGACATCAGTTCAACATCTAATTTTGATTTACATTTGGTTGAGTTGTCAAATAACTTGAATTCAATGTGATATCAACAACAACAAAAATCACCATGTCATGGGATTTAGGTTAAAAGTTAGGTGAAAAAAATATTAAATGCCCTTACGTTGATTACTTTTTTGCTAATTCAATTCGTTTTCCTGGTCGATTCAACCGCCATCACATTCATTTTGTTGGTTGAAATGACATGGAAACAACTTTGATTGAACCAGTGTCGAGCCAAACTGTTTTCCATAAGGAGTTGTCAAGAGAACAGAAACAGACTCTGGCACGCAGGCTAAGCCTTCACTGCCTTATGCTTTAACTTCTACTGGTTACAGTTTGCCAGTGGTCTGATTCATAATACCACCAAACCAACTGTATTTTCCGTAGAAGAGAGTAAAAATACAGTAGAAGAGAAGTTCGGCATTATCTGATATTTTTTTTGTTAAGGTTGAAAATTATACATAACAGTTTACTTTTCCTCAACACCTCATCATTCAAATTATCACTCGGCTGAGGGAGAAGGTACAGCACTGGAGGCTAGTTGCTACGGGTAACGAGCGGGGTCGTACACAGGAGCTTTGACAGGAAATCATCTCGGCTGTCCAAGCAGCCTTTACTCCACTTGTTTACATCGATCGATTAGAATTATATCGATCTGATAAGGATCTGGAAGTCTTTGTACAGAACATTAGTCCGCTAATCGGTCAACTCCTGAGCGGCGCAGTGGTCTAAGGCACTTGCATGCAGTGCTAACTGTGCCACTAGAGATCCTGGTTTCGAATCCAGGCCTTTTGCAGCAGGTCCGCGCTCGGTAGACTATGGGCGGCGCACAATTGCCAGCGTTCGTTCCAGGGTAGGGAGGGAATGCCTGGCATGATTACTCAGTTGATAGACATGGCGTTTGCAACGCCAGGGTTGTGGGTTCGATTCCCACGGGGGGCCACGTTAAAAAATACTGATTCACTAACTGTAAGTCGCTCTGGTAAGAGCGTCTGACTAATGACTAAAATGTAAATGTAAACAAACCATTGAAGTTTTGAAGTCGGCAGGTGGTGCACGCAGTGGTTGGCCCACTGGCTCAGCTGAGAATGGAATGATCCTGGTTCAGAATGGTTATTTTATATTTAATAAAATTTCTAATTAATACAAAAAGACACAGGACATAACCTACAAGTATATTTTCTTCTTAAGAAACATAAAAATAACGTTAAAGTAATGCAAATAAACAAACATAACAAATGCAAATCACTACACATGAATAGCCCAGTGACAACCGTTTAAAAAGTAAAAGTACCTCCAATAAAATAAACAGAAAAAAAGGTCAGGGGTCACAATTGTATAAACCTATGATGGAGTTGTAAGAAATGTTTTGTTATTTATAACGTCACAGAGTCACACATAAAAAAGAATAGTTTCCCCTTCTTTATCACGGAAAAGGTGTCCTCTAAGGCCATGAATTTAGGAAAGTTATTACAACGGTATATTTTGTACAAGATTTTTAAGTGAAATTTATTTTACTTTATTTGATATATACGAAATTTGGTAGGGAGCAACCAAGCTTTCTTCCATTTAATTTTAGAAATATGTGTGTTACAGAAAATGTCCATCTGGGAGAGAAGTTTAAAAAGTCCCCTTAAGAATGTGTTATTACGGTTCTTATCCAGCAGGGGGCAACCTTCTAACATCAGTTGTGCGTCTATCTTGACATGTTCTCCAAAACACAAATGAGATTTCATTAATTTAGCCAAGTCCTGAAGCTATTGCTTTTCATATAGAATGACATTATTTGTAATGTATTGGGAAGTTATATGTTTCTAAGAACTTTCCATAAGAGAGTATATTCAAATCAAACCAAATATTTATTGGTCGCATACACATCAGTGGCGTTCAGTGCCGTTTAAGATGAGGGAGGATTATTTATTTTTTAAATGAGCCTTATTTCTATTACAGCATATTGTATGACTGTCATTCATATTCCATTCACCCAGCTCAATGTAACATCGATAGGTTTAGGCTACTACATGATACTCAAACTTTCCCTATACCCATCATGAGGTTGCTACAACCTAGCCTATGAATGAACGTTTACAGCGTAGATACACAGGTCGAGAGACCCATTTGAGGTGGTTTCTAAATGTTCCGTTGCCATACTGGCTGGAAACGTTCTTATCCCTTGCTTGCTAGCTAGCCAACTACGGCTAATTTACAGTCATATCAAACAGTGCAGCCAGAATAACAACAGTAGCTGCATTTGCATTTGTTTTAGCTGTTTTCTAGTGACATTTATTTGGATACATCCATAACAATGAGCTAATGAGGCGTGATTTCGCCTGGCATAGAAAATGTGCTCTCTCCTCAGGAGGGTGTTGTTCAGAGGAGCTAGCCAACAACAGCTTACACAAACATAATGTAATTATTAGTCCAACAGTTGCAAACGAGAGTTTCTTTTGAACAAAGTCAGGTATGTCTATCCCCGTTTTGTTCCGTTTGCTTCCGTTTAAGAAACGTTTTTTTTCAACAGAATCGGCGGAATGAATACACCCCTGATCACGCGTAAACACAGTTCACTTTCATAGCAGCCACGTTGTATTCCTTCTCGCGTCTATGCGCTCTCCTCCTCTCACCTCGTCCCTTCGCTTGTGGACTTCAATGCACAACACATCAGCTGTATGTGACCAGGCGAAAAAACCTTTCCAAGCCAAACCATGTCATAACCGCTACAAACAGCCTACATCGTTCTCACCATATTAGTTAAAGTAACGTCCTAGTCAACATAGCTAATAGAACTAACGCGTTAGTAAACCCACTACAATCATGCAGGAACGTTACAGTGTACAGTCAGTAAGCAGTTACACCGGCGGGCCCCAGTGGCAATAAATTAGTAAAACCAAAAGCTTAAGGTTACCTTGACTTGGAAGAGTTCCAGTGTTGTGTTGGATAGTCGTAGCCAGCTAGCTGACATAGCATCCATCTGTTTGAGCCGGGTATTTCAGTAGGCTAAACTAGCTAGCTGCATTTGCTAGCTAAGTAAATGAAACTGAAAGTGAAAAAAAGAAAATAAATCTCTCTCACTCGATTTCTCTCTTGCTTCTCCTTCATTTTGGAAGAAATTACTAGTTCAAAAACTATTGTCTTTCTCTCTCTTTGAGTCAACTACTCATCATATTTTATACACTGCAGTGCTAGCTAGCTGTAGCGTATGCTTTCAGTACTAGATTCATTATCTGATCCTTTGATTGGGTGGACAACATGTCAGTTCATGCTGCAAGAGCTCTGATAGGCTGGAGAACTTCCGGAGGACGTCCTCCAGCCTGTCATAATTACTGTGTAAGTCTATGGAAGTGGGTGAGAACCATGAGCCTCCTAGGTTTTGTATTGAAGTCAATGTACACAGAGGAGGACAGAAGCTAGCTGTCCTCCGGCTACACCATGGTGCTACCCTACAGAGTGCTGTTAAGGCTACTGTAGACCTTCTTTGCAAAATACTGTGTTTTAATCAATTATTTGGTGATGTGATTATATTTAGTATAGTTTTATCTAAAAATGATAACTTTAATGTTTTACAATTTGTATTTTTATGAAATTCACTCCCCTTCCTCCTCTGAGGAGCCTCCACTGATTCACATACTGTATTTAGAAGATGTTATTGCGGGTGTAGCGAAATGCTTGTGTTCCTAGCTCCAACAGTGCAGTAATATCTAACAATACACACAAATCTAAAAAGTAAAAGAATGGAATTAAGAAATATAGATATTTTGGAAAGTATTCAGACACCTTGACTCTTCCACATTTTGTTATGTTACAGCCTTATTCTAAAATTGATTTTTTAATTTTTTCTTCAGCAATCTACACACAATACCCCATAAGGACAAAGCAAGAACAGGTTTTTAGAATTTGTTGCAAATGTATTAAAAATAAAAATAAATATATCACACTTAGCAATCAATGATGCAATATAATGTCATCACTTAGTAATTAATTATGCAATATAATGTCATCACTTATTAATCAATGATGCAATATAGTGACATCACTTATGTTTTAGTTCAACTACTACAGTAAGTGAATTGTAGCGGCGTATTTTATGATTGATTTATTTTAGACATATTATATAACAGTTAACACTAATGTTATAATTGTCATACCTCACTTATGGTTTTTAATAATAATACTCATTATATTAGAATATTATCTGTCCAATAAATGTGTTTTGTAAATGAGACAACAAATCTGTCTCTGAATCTGTCCAGCGTCCAATGAACTGGTTGTCCATACCATAGAATTAGAATGAATAGAACGGTCCTCGTTCAAGTCAATGACGGCATAATGGGTGGACTGGCGGCCATTGCAAGTGTACCCACAGGAGCAAAGCAGGAAGTAAAAGCAGGAAGTGTACACATCAATCTTTACTGTGATTTGTTGAATCAACTTAACTGACATTACAAAAATTCCATTCCATTGCATGAGCCACAATCAGTTAGCATCATTTGAACGAACATTCTACATTACCATGGAAATGATTGCATCACAATACCAGGCAGCCATTGCAAGTGTCCCCATGAGTTTACCAGTCAAACTGCCAGGGTTAGAGGTTCCAGACCTGTTCTATAGACCCCCTCTTCAGAGGAGGAGCCTACAATGTTCTGTCTGTGAGTCTGTCCTCTCCTCAGGGACTGACAGAAGGACAGACTGTCTGTTGTTCCTCATCAGTAACGACACCAAGTCTTTGTTCCTCTTGCTATTGGTCCATAACACAGGAGACGCCACGCTATTGGTCCCGCTGTGTTGGCGAGGGAGCCTTCCTATTGGCTTAGAGAGCAGTCTGTATCCAGGAAACAGCCAATGAGCAGGGAGTCTGAAACAACTGAGCAAATCGTATCTGGACAGAGCTGGCCTGCTATTGGCCAGGAGGAGGGGGAGGCTCAACCTTGGGTAGGGGTGGTTGAGAGGGTGACCAACCGTTTTTGCGAATAGTGGTTGTTTAACATTGACTATCCTGTTCACAGTTGTCGTTCTGGTTGTGGTCTTAGCTTTGACCGTTGCTTGTGATCGTGGTGGTCTTGTGGTCAGATGTCGGTCTGGGTGTTGTCGCTCCACCGGTATGACCCTGCAGGAGGGGTAATGGTTCACAGGTGACCCATCTATGTCAACCACCCGGTAAGGTTTAGTTGTGATTGCAGTTGTAGGTTTGACCGTTGGAGGCGGTGGTGGTGGTGGTGTGGTCGGGGGTATGACTCGTCCACAGGGGGGGTACACCGGTGACCCGTCTAACTGTACAACCTGGAACCCTGTCAGCCAGGGGTCAAAGGTCAGCCCAGGGTCAGTGTCTGTCTGACCTAGAGGGAGAGGTAGTGCTTCAGATTAATGGTGCTTTTTACAGAGGATCAACTATTCACCTCGACACAACTCAAACACTAAGGACTGGATTCAATCCATAGTGCTGAAGATCCGCGCTGTAGCGCAATTTAAATGTAAAGGTCATTTTCCAATAGAGCCGACATATGCAGCGTTTACCGTGAACGCAGTCTCCGCTAACGCGGGAACATTGCCTCTGAATTTTGATGGCGCTACAGCGTGCATCTTCAGTGCTACGAATTGAATCGAGCCCTAACACAAAACATTTAAAACACACATTTAACAAGAACACCATCATTTAACAAGAACACCATCATTTAACAATAACACTATAATTTAACAATAACACTATCATTTAACAATAACACTATCATTTAACAATAACACTATCATTTAACAATAACACTATCATTTAACAATAACACTATCATTTAATTATAATACAGGAATGTGTAAAAGTCAAATGTTGTTTATCCAAAAACTTTCATATGAGTGAAACGGCATAATACTTTACGTAGGTCATCAGACTGTTAAACAGCCACCACTAGCACAGAGAGGCTGCTGCCTATAGACATAGACTAGAAATCACTGGCCACTTTCATAAATGGAACACTAGTCACTTTAGTAATGCCACTTTAATAATGTTTACATATCTTGCATTCCCCATCTCATCTGTATATACTGTATTCTATACTATCTTAATAATGTGTACATATCTTGCATTCCCCATCTCATCTGTATATACTGAATTCTATACTATCTTAATAATGTTTCCATATCTTGCATTCCCCATCTCATCTGTATATACTGAATTCTATACTATCTATTGCATCTTAGCCTATGCTGCTCTGATAATGACATTGCTCATCCATATATTTATATATTCTTATTCCATTCCTTTACTTAGATTTGTGTGTATTAGGTTTTTGTTGTGTATCTGTTAGATATTACTTGCTAGATGTTGCTGCACTGTCGGAACTAGAAGCACAAGCATTTCGCTACACTCTCAATAACATCTGCTAACCATGTCTATGTGACCAATACATTTGATTTGATGTATCACACCTCTAAGACACTGCCACAGTAAACACTGTTCCACACACCTCAACAGTAGCTGTTCTTCTGAAGCGATCTGATCCCACACGTACATATTTCATAAGAACAGAAATGTTCAAGTTGGCATCAGTGTTAAAGGCCTAGTGCAGTCAAAAATCCGTTTTTCCTCTATTTTGTATCATATTGTACAACAGCCGATGAAACTAACTCTGTAAAAACATACATGTATATTTTTATCAAGTGTTATTTCCTGATAGTACGCAGGTTGAAAATACAACATACACAGGACTTTCTAATCAGCAGGTTTTGCATGGGTGGAGTTTTGGCTTGACCACCAGGTGGTCAATTAGTTAATAGGCCAATAACAGAGTTCCAAACCTCTCTGCCAATAACAAATAGTTTTCAGTTTTACACTCCCCACTCAGACCACTCCCAGACAGTCTTAGCTAAATTATTGCTTGAGAGGTTTTTGCTAAAAAAAAGCTATTTTTGTTTCTTTTTGACAATTTGAATAGAAAACTGTCACAGTAAGGACCTTCATTGTTACCCAGAAATGATTTGATATTGATATAAAAACTGCATTGGATATTTAAGCTTCATACATTATTAACACTCAGTCAGTAATAACTCTCGGCCAGACAATCTAGAAAGAATTTAGGTTAGAGAGATTTAGGCTGGCCTGTGTTTAGGGTCCGGTTCAGATTTAAGATTAGCCTGCGCACCTCAAACTTGATCGCAAAATTATTAATTGATGTCAATGCATGTGTTTACATGCACACAAATCATTTGATATTAAACTGATTATGTAGGCCGAGTATGGCATTAGTCATGTAAACAACTTCCTCTGCTCAGCTTAATCAGCTCAAGGTCATAATGGAAGTAAGTATACGATTAAAACATATTTCTATTGATTAGGACGTGTAAACAGCTTAATCAGCTCCAGCAATGTTTCTATTGATTAGGACGTGTAAACAGCTTAATCAGCTCCAGCAATGTTTCTATTGATTAGGACGTGTAAACAGCTTAATCAGCTCCAGCGGTGTATTTGATCTGTCAGCACCAGCACCAGCAGTCCAAGCCTCTCTCTTATATGTGAGTGAAGTGAGTTTGGAAAAACTGAAAGTATGGGTCTTTAGAAATAGTTTTCACATACAAACTTTATATGTCCGAACTCAGAATCAAATAGGCTTCCCAAACATAACATGATCACTGTGGTGGAAACGTTTATTTTCATTGGCGAAGTCCCATCAGTAGCCTGATTTCAGATGTGTCCTTGTAAACAGGATTATTAGAGAAATCGATCTTCTTGCAAAGCATGTAAATGTTTTAAATCGAACTACAGTATTATATCAATCTGACTATGAAACATTGTGTGCATGTAACCGTACTCACTGTGAGACGTATGTGAAACATTGTGTGCATGTAACCGTACTCATGTGAGACGTATGTGAACATTGTGTGCCATGTACCGTACTCAATGTGAGACGTATGTGAAACATTGTGTGCATGTAACCGTACTCAATGTGAGACGTATGTGAAACATTGTGTGCATGTAACCGTACTCAATGTGAGACGTATGTGAAACATTGTGTGCATGTAACCGTACTCAATGTGAGACGTATGTGAAACATTGTGTGCATGTAACCGTACTCAATGTGAGACGTATGTGAAACATTGTGTGCATGTAACCGTACTCACTGTGAGACGTATGTGAAACATTGTGTGCATGTAACCGTACTCAATGTGAGACGTATGTGAAACATTGTGTGCATGTAACCGTACTCAATGTGAGACGTATGTGAAACATTGTGTGCATGTAACCGTACTCAATGTGAGACGTATGTGAAACATTGTGTGCATGTAACCGTACTCAATGTGAGACGTATGTGAAACATCGGGTTTTTAGCATGCAGATCTCAAGTCAGAACACCGCCCTTCATTTAGTTGTCGAGAAAATATGAAGTGACAGTCTAACAGTGAGTTAAAGGTTTAGTTAGTATATAAAGTATGAAGTGACATATATAAAGTATGAAGTGACATATATAAAGTATGAAGTGAGCTAAAGGTTTAGTTAGTATATAAAGTATGAAGTGACATATTAAAAGTATTAAGTGAGCTAAAGGTTTAGTTAGTATATAAAGTATGAAGTGACATATAAAAAGTATGAAGTGACATATATAAAGTATGAAGTGACAGATATAAAGTATGAAGTGACATATATAAAGTATGAAGTGACATATATAAAATATGAAGTGAGCTAAAGGTTTAGTTAGTATATAAAGTATGAAGTGACATATATAAAGTATGAAGTGAGCTAAAGGTTTAGTTAGTATATAAAGTATGAAGTGACATATATAAAGTATGAAGTGACATATATAAAGTATGAAGTGACATATATAAAGTATGAAGTGACATATATAAAGTATGAAGTGAGCTAAAGGTTTAGTTAGTATATAAAGTATGAAGTGACATATATAAAGTATGAAGTGACATATATAAAGTATGAAGTGAGCTAAAGTTTAGTTAGTATATAAAGTATGAAGTGACATATATAAAGTATGAAGTGAGCTAAAGGTTTAGTTAGTATATAAAGTATGAAGTGACATATATAAAGTATGAAGTGACATATATAAAGTATGAAGTGACATATATAAAGTATGAAGTGACATATATAAAGTATGAAGTGAGCTAAAGGTTTGTTATATATAAATATGAAGTGACATATATAAAGTATGAAGTGAGCTAAAGGTTTAGTTAGTATATAAAGTATGAAGTGACATATATAAAGTATGAAGTGACATATATAAAGTATGAAGTGACATATATAAAGTATGAAGTGACATATATAAAGTATGAAGTGACATATATAAAGTATGAAGTGAGCTAAAGGTTTAGTTAGTATATAAAGTATGAAGTGACATATATAAAGTATGAGTGAAGCTAAAGGTTTTAGTTAGTATATAAAGTAATGAAGTGACATATATAAAGTATGAAGTGACATATATAAATATGAATTGATCTAAAGGTTTAGTTAGTATATAAGTATGAAGTGACATATATAAGTATGAAGTGACATATATAAAGTATGAAGTGACATCTAATATGAAGTACATATATAAGTAGAAGTGACAGATATAAAGTATGAAGTGACATATATAAAGTATGAAGTGACATATATAAAGTATGAAGTGAGCTAAAGGTTTAGTTAGTATATAAAGTATGAAGTGACATATATAAAGTATGAAGTGAGCTAAAGGTTTAGTTAGTATATAAAGTATGAAGTGACATATATAAAGTATGAAGTGACATATATAAAGTATGAAGTGAGCTAAAGGTTTAGTTAGTATATAAAGTATGAAGTGACATATATAAAGTATGAAGTGAGCTAAAGGTTTAGTTAGTATATAAAGTATGAAGTGACATATATAAAGTATGAAGTGAGCTAAAGGTTTAGTTAGTATATAAAGTATGAAGTGACATATATAAAGTATGAAGTGAGCTAAAGGTTTAGGTTAGTATATAAAGTATGAAGTGACATATATAAAGTATGAAGTGAGTTAAAGGTTTAGTTAGTATATAAAGTATGAAGTGACATATATAAAGTATGAAGTGAGCTAAAGGTTTAGTTAGTATATAAAGTATGAAGTGACATATATAAAGTATGAAGTGAGCTAAAGGTTTAGTTAGTACATAAAGTATGAAGTGACATATATAAAGTATGAAGTGACATATATAAAGTATGAAGTGACATATATAAAGTATGAAGTGACATATATAAAATATGAAGTGAGCTAAAGGTTTAGTTAGTATATAAAGTATGAAGTGTATAAGGTGAGCTTTAAATACAGCAGATATTACTAGTTAGTGTTGAACTGACCTGTTGCTGTTGATGTGATGAAGGTTACTCTGAGGAGGAAGAGGAACAGACAGACACAAAGAGGAGGTGATGCTAAGCTGGAACACATGGCTGGAGAGAGAGAGCAGAGGAGAGGAGAGGAGAGGAGTGGGGAGAGGACAGAGGTTCTGTCTATAAGAGCGGAGATGTGGGTGGGGTTTCCCCCGTACAGACTCAGACAGTATTTATTTACTTAGCTTCCTTTCATCAGGTGGAAGTTGTAAGTGGTGACTCAGGTAATGTAGCTGGTCTGTCTACCTCTGTCTCAGGTCTGTCTCAGGTCTGTCTACCTCTGTCTCAGGTCTGTCTACCTCTTTCTCAGGTCTGTCTACCTCTGTCTCAGGTCTGTCTACCTCTGTCTCAGGTCTGTCTACCTCTTTCTCAGGTCTGTCTACCTCTGTCTCAGGTCTGTCTACCTCTTTCTCAGGTCTGTCTACCTCTGTCTCAGGTCTGTCTACCTCTTTCTCAGATCTGTCTCAGGTCTGTCTACCCTCTTTCTCAGGTCTGTCTACCTCTTTCTCAGGTCTGTCTACCTCTTTCTCAGGTTCTGTCTACCTCTTTCTCAGGGTCTGTCCTACCTCTTGTCTCAGGTGTCTGTCTACCTCTGTCCTCAGGTCTGTCTACGTCTGTCTACCGTCTGTCTCAGGTCTGTCTACCTCTGTCTCAGGTCTGTCACCTCTTTCTCAGTCTGTCTACCTCTTTCTCAGGTCTGTCTACCTCTTTTCTCAGGTCTGTCTACCTCTGTCTCCGGTCTTGGTTCCTACCTGTCTCAGGTCTGTCTACAGGTCTGTCGACCTGTCTCAGGTCTGTCTCAGGTCTGTCTACCTGTCTCAGGGTGTGGTCTAGGTCTGTCATACCTCTTTCTCAGGTCTGTCTACCTCTTTCTCAGGTCTGTCTACCTCTGTCTCAGGTCTGTCTACCTGTCTCAGGTCTGTCTCAGGTCTGTCTACCTGTCTCAGGTCTGTCTCAGGTCTGTCTACCTGTCTCAGGTCTGTCTCAGGTCTGTCTACCTGTCTCAGGTGTGTCTCAGGTCTGTCTACCTCTTTCTCAGGTCTGTCTACCTCTGTCTCAGGTCTGTCTACCTGTCTCAGGTCTGTCTACCTCTGTCTCAGGTCTGTCTACCTGTCTCAGGTCTGTCTCAGGTCTGTCTACCTCTGTCTCAGGTCTGTCTACCTCTTTCTCAGGTCTGTCTACCTCTTTCTCAGGTGTGTCTCAGGTCTGTCTACCTCTGTCTCAGGTCTGTCTCAGGTCTGTCTACCTCTGTCTACCTGTCTCAGGTCTGTCTCAGGTCTGTCTACCCCTGTCTCAGGTCTGTCTCAGGTCTGTCTACCTCTGTCTCAGGTCTGTCTACCTCTTTCTCAGGTGTGTCTCAGGTCTGTCTACCTCTGTCTCAGGTCTGTCTACCTGTCTCAGGTCTGTCTACCCCTGTCTACCTGTCTCAGGTCTGTCTCAGGTCTGTCTACCTCTTTCTCAGGTCTGTCTACCTCTTTCTCAGGTCTGTCTACCCCTGTCTCAGGTCTGTCTCAGGTCTGTCTACCTGTCTCAGGTCTGTCTCAGGTCTGTCTACCTGTCTCAGGTGTGTCTCAGGTCTGTCTACCTCTTTCTCAGGTCTGTTGTAAGTGTGTCTTAACTGTGTCTAAGGTGTTTTTTGTTTCAGGTGTTTCAGAGAGGATTCTAGATTGTTGCAACATGGAACCACAACCTGGAGGAGGAGACACTTAAAGTACACAACATTAGCCACTTTAGTATAATGACCAAGCCTCATGCGTTACGTAATGCGTGTGCGTGTGCCAGCTGTTAATCGTGGGTCTTAAATGTCTACTGTCCTCCATGCAATCTCTCATCACACTGATTAGCCAACCTACCCGAGGGTTTCCAAACACACACACACACACCCTGATATGTTTACACTGTGTTGCCATGGACACATGCCTTTGCCGGTGTCTGCTTTCATCCCACACCAGTTCCTCGTTCTGTCATCTGAGGGAGGATGTTGATACCAAAAGTTACACAGATGAGGAACTAGAAAAAAGTTGATATAAAGTTTATTTCTTTTTTTGTATTGTTATGTTTTAATACTCGACATAATTCAGTACATAAACCATAATGGCGCTGGTGGAGATGGCTGCCGTTTTACGGGCTTCCTCCACGCTGATCCTCAACACGGGGACCCCTCAGGGTGCGTGCTCAGTCCCCTCCTGTACTCCCTGTTCACCCATGACTACATGGCCAGGCACGATTCCAACACCATCATTAAGATTGCCGACGACACAACAGTGGTAGGCCTGATCACCGACAACGATGAGGCAGCCTGTAGGGAGGAAGTCAGAGACCTGGCCGTGTGGTGCCAGGATAACAACCTCTCCCTCAACGTGACCAAGACAAAGGAGATGATTGTGGACTACAGGAAAAGGAAGATGAGCACGCCCCCATTCTCATCGACGGGGCTGTAGTGGAGCAGGTCCACATCACCAACAAACTATCATGGTCCAAACACACCAAGACAGTTGTGAAGAAGGCACGACAAAGCCTATTCCCCCTCGGGAGACTGAAAATATTTGGCATGGGTCCTCAGATCCTCAAAAAGTTCTACAGCTGCACCATCGAAAGCGTCCTGACAGGTTGCATCACTGCCTGGTATGGCAACTGCCCGGACTCCGACCGCAAGGCACTACAGAGGGTAGTGCGTACAGCCCAGTACATCACTGGGGCCAAGCTTCCTGCCATCCAGGACCTCTATACCAGGCGGTGTCAGAGGAAGGCCCTAAAAACTGCCAAAGACTCCAGCCACCCAAGTCATAGACTGTTCTCTCTGCTACCGCACAGCAAGCGGTACCGGAGTGCCAAGTCTAGGTCCAAAAGGCTTCTTAACAGCTTCTACCCCCAAGCCATAAGACTCCTGAACAGCTAATCATGGCTACCCGGACTATTTGCAACATCCCCCCCCCCCCCCCCTCTTTTACGCTGCTGCTACTCTCTGTTTATTATCTATGCATAGTCACTTTAATAACTGTACCTACATGTACATATTACCTCAATTACCTGGACTAACCGGTGCCCCCCCACATTGACTCGGTACCGGTACCCCCCTGTATATAGCCTCCCTACTGTTATTTTACTGTTGCTCTTTAATTATTTGATATTTTTCTTATTTTTTTTATCTATTTTTTTTTTACATCTAAATTTTACTTAACACTTTTTTTCTTCTTAAAACTGCATTGTTGGTTAAGGGCTTGTCAGTCAGTATTCGGCGTATGTGACAAATAAAAATGTGATTTGATTTGATACTAGGAGTAAACCATTTGTAAGTGTGTAAGACTTTAAAATAGTTTTAAAACGTTTTTTAGAAACAAAGTCTAGGGCTGAGTTCCAAGTGGTCCATTTATAATGAGTCCTTTGGGCTCTGGTCAAAAGTAGTGCACTCTAGGGAACAGGGTGCCATTTGGGATTCACCCAGGACTACTGCATAAGTGTTTACAGAGCACCAAATCATCAATATATTTGGTATCAATACACGTGAATTGTGTTGCATTAATAAAAAGTGAACAGATTGCAGGTCATAAAACGTGAATGACTCACGATAATCAACTACATCGTGGTATAAACCATCTGTAGGTAATGAAGTGTCTTTTAGATAATAAACATTGAAAGAATTTATTTGGAATGTGACGATGATTGATGGATGATGATGATTTCCTCTAATGCCTAATTTCACCTTCCGCTTCAATCGAACGTCCGCTCCCATCCGCATCTGTGCATTTCCCCCTGAAAAGTGTCCTGCAGAGATTTCAGAGTCCATGCGGACAGAAGTGGACGTTGGATATCGCATCATCATCAGAGGACGGCACGGAAGGGGAAGGCTTTAATTTTGGTTTAACCTTCCCCCTATTTTGAATTTCTTGAAAAAAAAGGGAGTTGGGGAAAGGTAGCGATGCCGGGGAAAGGACCCCAAAGGGGGTTTCTTTGGAAATCCCCCAAGGGGCAAAAATTTTAAAAAAAATTCTTGGCCAACCAGCCAAAAAAAGGGGTTTGGGTTTGGTAAATTTTTTTCCCAAAAAATTTGGGCCCCCCTTGGGTTTAAAGAAAGCCCTTCCCCGGAAAAAAAAAAGGTTCCTTCAGAAAAAAACATTCAATATAAAACCCAAAGACCGATCCCCCTGAAAAGGAAATTCCAAAAACCTATTTAAAAGAAGGCCCTTTACACTTAAGGAAAAATCCCGGGGGGCCCGGTCTTAAAAGGGGCTTTTCCTACAAAACGGGAGGCCCCCTAAAAAACCAATTTCCCCCTAAAAGAGCTTTAGTCCGAAAAAACAAGGGACCCGGCCCCCCGGGAAAAAGGCTCCCTCCTTAAATTATGGGCATTTCACCAACCCCGGGGGCCCTTGGGGGCTTTCTACGGAAGGGGGGAAAAAATAAAAGGGAGAGGGAAGGAGGGGGACGGGAAGGAAAAGGAGACCCGGGCCCGGGGAAAAGGGAGAAAAGGAGGGGAGAGGAGGGGAAAAGGGGGGAAAGGGGAGAGGAGGGGGAAAAGGAGGGGGGGAGAGGAGAGGAGAGGGGGGAGGGGAAAGGGGAAAGGGAGAGGAGGGGAGAGGAGAGGAGAGGAGGGGGAGAGGGACGAGGAGAGGGGGGGGGGAAAAGGGAGGGGTGAGGAGGGGAGAGGAGAGGGAGGGATGAGGGGAGGGGGAGGGGGGAGAGGAGAGGAGGGAGAGGAAGGAGAGGAGGGGACGGGGGGAAGGGAGGGAGAGGAGAGGAGAGGAGAGGAGAGGGGAAGGAGAGGGGGAGGAGGGGAAAGAGGAGAGGGGGGAGGAGAGGAGAGGAGAGGAGAGGAGGGAGGGGGAGAGGAGGGGGGAGAGGAGAGGAGGGGGAGGGGGAGGAGAGGAGAGGAGGGGAGGGAAGAGGGGGGGAGAGGAGAGGAGAGGGGGGGAGAGGAGAGGGGGAGAGGAGGGAGGGGGGGAGGGGAAAGGGGAGAGGGAGGGAGAGGGCGGAGGGGGAGGGAGAGGGGGGGAGGGAGAGGGGCGGGGGGGAAAGAGGAGAGGAGGGAGGGGAGAGGGAGGGGGAGGGGGGAGAGGAGA